TCTCTCCCTTTTACTTATCGCTTTTATAATTGTGCTTTCTATTTGAATTAATTTATTTAGTCTTTACTTGCTTAAATTTAGATTAATTTTTCGAAAAAGTTTTAAAAACCAATTCACCTCCCTCTTGGTTAATTATTTTTGGGCTAACAAATTTTGCTAATTTGACTTGACCATATTAATATACCCAATTCTTGCCAAAGAAATAAATAATTAAATTTCTCATTTGGCTCATTTTATTACTCTTACTCCGAAATTGGTGTCCATTGAATTAACATAGAATAAATCTTCCTAATATGAATATAAAATGGAAGATTACAGGGACAAGTCGAGATCGTTAATCAAAAGAGTTAAGCTACAAGTACAAGAATTGAAATTCCTGTACTTGCCCGACAACACACATAATAGGTGGGTGGGGGGAGGTTTTTGGCATTATTTTAATTATGTGAGGCCATCCCCATGTGGGAAAAATTTTAAATTCCTGTATGAATTCTGTGAGAATAATTATGTACTCTCAAAATAATTCTAATCAAAATTGTAAGCGTACAATATAATAAAATATCATATAACTTAATGCAAATTTAATGAAATTGATTGCATGTTAAATTTAGAATTATTAGGCACGTCGATAGTTTAGGACGTACAAGGTACATTCCACTGCAACAACATAGTTAGCCCATATGAAGATAATTATCTTGATTAAACAATAAATATATCATTGGTGTAATTAGTCTAGATAGACATGATAATTACAAGAAATAAGCACTCGACATTACATAAAACAAGGAGAAGAAGATAGTAAAATTCTTAGATATAAAACCAGATTTGTTGCAAAAGGTTTTACTCAAAAAGAAGGTATTGATTACACTGAATTTTTTTCTCCTGTTGTTAAATATACTACTATTAGATGACTACTTGCTCTTGTTGCTCAATATAGGAACTTGATCAATTAGATGTTAAAACTGCCTTCTTGTATGGTGAGTTTGATGAAATAATTTACATGAGATAGCCCCTTGGTTTTGAGAAATGAGATCCTAAAGATATTGTTTGTTTATTAAAGAGATCCTTATATAGTTTAAAACAAGCACCTAGGCATTTTGATACTTTTGTTTTAAAACTTGATTTCAAAAGGAGTCGGTATGACTCCTGCTTATACTGTAAAGGTGATGGAGGTAAAATATTCTTTGCATTTAGTCATTTAGTGAATGATATGCTGCTTGCTAGTAGTGATAATCCGAAATTGATAATATTAAATTGAAATTGAAATGAGTTTGATATGAAAGATCATGATTTTGCTATAAAGATACAAGACATGCAGATTTGGATAAATAAAGAAAGGGACATACTATTCTTGAATCAACATGATTATGTGGTTAAAATTTTGGGGAAAAAAAAATTACATGTATGATTGCAAACATATAACCTTACATCATGCTAATCATTTTAAGTTATCTTCTAAATATTGTCCTAAAAATTGAATTATTATGTTTATATGATGATAGAATGGAATTTTGTACATGTGTTTTCGAAATGTTAAGGAGCACTCATGCTCTGAAATTTTGGAATTGGATTATTCTGTTTATATGACGATTAGATTGAATTTTCAAAATGTGTTTTGGAAATGTGAAGGAGCACTCATGTTTTGGAATTTTTGAAAATGTGTTTTGGAATTGAATTATTCTGTTTATATGACGATAGAATTGAATTTCAGAATTGAGTTTTTGGGTTCTAATGGTGCACTCATGTCCTGGATAAAGGCCACATTCATATGTTTCTCAATCATTTGGCAAATACGTAATGGATTTGATACAAGACTATTGCCATTCGATTTTTGTATTTTGCACGAGTGTTAAGTGAAAAATCCCATAACCTTTTATTGTGCCATACCTTATATTTCTCATTCAACTTCGTTTTACATTTGAATTTTACAGGAAAACCTAAAGTACAAGAAGTTTAAAGATAAGGACGTGGGAGAAATTCACGATTGATGCAGTCGTCTATTCGGTAACAGTTAAGACTTAACCAAGTACGCTTTGGCACTGAACAAATGTACGTAAATTCGGCATGCGTGAAGACACTGACATCGACCAATTAGCCGACCGTTTGCCTGTCTCGATATACAATAGTGATTCAAGCCACGGTCAACACCGACACGTTCGAAGCGGGAAATTGAAATGTGACGTAGCGCAACAGCGGTAAACGTAAGTCCACATCTTGTTCAGATAAAATCGAGAAAAAATACGGGACCCTAGATGTGTCCACTTCGGTTGATTTGGTCAGGTCTATTTGTAGAACTGCAGTCTTTTACACATAGCAAAAGTGTTGGCTACAGTATTTCGCTTGACAAGTGTATCACCGAAGTAGAAGTAACTGGTTAGGTCAATAGGAGCAGCGATCTGTTCATGTTCGCTCTATCATTCTTCGGGATCAGGGGTAATAAGGGCATATGGAAGGTAGCAAAAGACATGGACACGAAGATGTGTTGGTTGAAATGGAGCTTCATGACTGGAAGTCGTGTAGAGCTGATTCCTCATGTGGTTCGGGTTTCAATTGGTAATTTGTTTCTATATTTGACAGATTGTTATAAAAACTACGTTTGTTTTGCGTATTTGATGTTTTTACCCCTTTGCGATACATGTTTTTTTTTATATTTCAGACTGGTTTTCTTTCGTATTGCTTTCCATTTGTGTCTTTTTTACAAATGAAGGTAAAATTATTTGAACACTCAAATCAATTCTACAATTACTCCTCATTTTCAAGCCTATAAATAGTAGCATGTATTGAAGACAAAATACTTCCGCCCTTCTTACTAGTACATGCTCATGTATCTGCTTCTCCCGAAACTTCAACATTCGTATGCAATACAAAGTAGTGGCAACCATCACATGAGGAGCAAGAAATAATTTCTACTTCTCCCGAAAATTTAGGAAACGTCTTCTCTTTGAAGCATTTCAACGAAAAAAATAAAAACATGTCACAATATCGATTTGCCGATTGCAATATTTACCCGAACTCCGATGTGTTTGACGAAGAAGACGATGAGACATTAATGCAACAACTCGAAGACGACATTTAGACATGGCTCAAATATTTTTTGCATTTTTGAACATCTGGTACAGAACTACTTGGCGGACATGTATTCATGCTGCGGAATTTGAACACAAATCCAAAAACTTGTTTTAATGAATTTTGGATATATCCACAGATATTCATTCACTTCACACACATACTTCAGGACGAGTATGGTTTGCAAACAGTGCATACCTAGACGTATACGAGTAGATAAGAATTTTTCTGTGCGTCTTGGCACACGGGAAAGGATACCGAAAAGTACAAACAATGTTTGGCCATTCATTGCACACAATAAGCCACTACTTCCAAAAAATTCTTCGTATTGTGGTTCGGTTCGCAGGAGACGTGATAAAGTCTGGCCCAAATTACAACTTCAGGATAGGACATCATCAGCCAGACGTTGTTGACTATCCATTATTCCAGGTGATCGTGCTAATGGAGAACGCATTTTTATGTACTATATGAAAATTTAATTCTTCCACACAAAGGATTACATTAAATCTATTATGTTTAGCAACTGTTTGGCGTGCTCAGGATTGCATCGAAGCATTGACGGAATGCATTTGCGGATTGTTCTACCGCATCATGAACGTGAAAATCTTAGAGGACGAAAAGAGATTCTAACACAAAATGTGTTGGATGTAAGCGATTTCAACTGTGCTTCACGTTCATGTTGTCAGGAACTATTGGAAATACGTACAATAGTCGAAAATATTGGCCAATACAATATATAATTCGGAAATTAATTTTCCCATCCCCGCTCCTAGAAAGTGTTATCTTGTGAACTTTGGATTTGCGCATATGCTG